GACTCTTGTTTGTGAAAAACCTGAAGATCAGGTTCTGAAAACAACCAGAAAAGAAGAAAGAAAGTTGTAGGATGCATCAGTGTTAAACATATCCTGGATGACTGTCCCCTACTAACAAATTAGCGCAGGCCTAATGATTCGAAGAGAGGCGGAGGGTTTAACAACTGCACTTTGTTTCCTCCTCGTCTCTTCGAATCAATGAGCCTGTAGACTGCTGCTGCATGTTGTTAAAATCCTTCTAAATAGCCCTCCCCTAGTGCCAAACTGCAGCAATATGAAGCCCCACGGATTCAAAGGCAACAAAGAAGCACTTTTGCTACGCCAACAGCGGCGCAAACAAGGTGTCAACAGACTTCATGTTTGTGTTTGCATTTAGACCGAGTAAATGGTCTACCAATACTTACAATCGGTTGGGTCATAATTTTCTGGAGTTTCTTGTTGCTCATTTGGTGCGACATCTTCGCAAAAACCCTGCGGGTGTGGAACGGGGGCGCTTCAGGCGGTGGATGATATCGGACCTCCCAGAGAAGGTTGCAGATGATCAGTGGGCAGCGATAACGCCCAACTACCTGCTGCGTAATTTATATTAACAAGAACGACAGTCCAACGAATGGAGTTGTTTTCCAGCGCTGCGCAGAAACGATAGATCTAGTGAAACAGGCGGAGTGCTGGCGGAGGAGTTCCCGCTGGGACCCTCCTCAAGATTGAGAATCAGGAGAAATAAAGCCTTTTCAAAGCCAACAACAACACCGATTCAACGGAGGCGGGCGCGGAGAAATATATTCAAGTATCAAAGATGAGTGAGGAAATACCGCATGCAGAGGCGGCGTCCACGGAGATGGCCAGGGGAAGAGAGGATGCTCAAGTACAAGGAAACAGGGAGGTAATTCCTCCTATACTTGCAATCTTGAACATAAAAAAGCACTACAACACTAGAAAATACCTATCCTTTTGCAGAAAGAAAGCCACGGAGAGCATGTGGACGAGGGCTTGGTGGGGTGCACTGCTCAGTAGACGGCGGCCGCTGTTGCTTGAGATTCGTTTCGGGCATTACTCAGACATGGGAAATTCTTGCAGTTAATTTTTAAATTAATTAGGATAACTCGGAACTGACTAAGGTCCGACAAAGTCATAGCTGCCGACTTCTCCTTGAGGCCGAAATCATCCGCAGTGAGCAGTACTGAAATGGAGTGTATGCACACACAACCGCCTCAGCGATTGTTCTGCTCGTAGCGCTCGCCGCATCAATTTATTTAATGCTCCTTTCTTGGATTTCTCCGGTTCACCTCGCAGGCGGCTGTGTGAGGATGCCCCGTTAGTGCTAGCTCGCGTTGAGGTGTGAACGCAGACACCCGCCAGCAGCGGAACGCGACAGCAGTCCAAACTCTAAACCCTACTCTACACCCTTGTCGTTTTCTGCTTGATGAATAAACAAGAAGAGATATATCCGTAGGAGAAGATGGAGAATTATCTCAACCGCGCAAATGCGCTTTTCTGCTCGCTGATGGTTAGTATGGGTGTTTTGGCACTCGGAAACATCGCATCTTCCTTCTTCCTCGTGGGCCCCATCTCCGGCTCGGTTTCCGCACGAGAAGTTTATGGCTTCGGCTACAACTACGCATTAAATGTGAGCCAGCAGATACTCCGCCGCTGCAGTAGGGGACGGTAGGGCCCCTACTGCAGCGGCGAAGTATCTGCTTATTCGACTCCCTGGCTGTGCATCTATCGTATGTCTCGTATAGGTGGCGAAGCTGCAACTAACGAAATATATGGGACTGTGTTTCATGCTTTGTTGAGTCTGGCTGCACCTGTATTAATGAGTTGGGTTGCAGTGGCCAAAATCCTCCTGTTGTGCCAGTTGGTGAGCGGCTGGCTTGTTGGGGTGCATGATGTGGATGAGTGTGGTTTGTCTTGATATCTGCTGTTAATGCTTCTTCAGGGGGACCAGGCAGTTGTCTCTCTCGACATAAAGGCGGATCTGCAGGGCCTGTTTCAGTGGAACGCGAAGCAGCTGTTTGTATTTGTGGTTGCGGAGTACGAGACTCCGCAGCATCCGTCCAACCAAGTGGTAATATATGACAGAATTATAACCGACGAAAGCGCATCAGTACTCAATTTAGTGAATGTTCCGGCAAAGTATCATCTAAGGGACAAAGGGAAAGGGCTGAGGGGCAGGGATATTACTCTAAAGCTGCAGGTCGTCTACCACCCCATTGTCGGCCGTATATACACCCAAACCCTCGCCACCTCCACTTTCCGCATGCCCGCACAGTACGATCGTGTCACGCAGCAAAAGCAGCAGGAGCAGCAGCGGCAGCAGGCAAAGGAGGCTGCAGATGCAGCAGCAGTCAAGCCAGAAGACCTCCAGTAGACTGGCATTGGTGCATTTGCAATATCTTCCTTCCAAACTCTAAGCGTATCAATCTGTATCTTGTTTTGATGATTCGAAGTGTGAGCAGGAGTAGTGATCAGGTGTGCAGACACCGCAACGTTGAGGGGTGCACCCCAAGCCCTTAGCTTAATTTCACTCACTAGCGAAGTGCTGGTTGTTTGAATGGCAGCAGCTAGTTGGGCTCCGAGGCTTGGGGATGGCTGGCTGGGGTGCGGTATCCCAGAAAAGGTCGTCGAATATGCATATCTGCGTGCAAGCTCATTGAAACTCACAGTATGAACACCTGGTGGTGGAAGAGGGCAGAAGGGTTTCTCTCGTTTTTCCGTGTTTCTGATATGCTGCACCCCCCAGTGATGCTGGAAAAAA